TTTTTTTTACTTTTCTTGGCCCAGTTGGACGTGTAAATCTTTTACCCGCGAATGATTACATAGTAGGTCCGCTAGGCATGCCACATGGAGCCAACAGCCTCCAGTAGCCGCCGTTTCCCGCGGTAACGGGCCAACAGTCTCCGCCCGGGTCGAGCTGCACCGAAGTCGCCTTTCCACCGCAGACGAAACCAGCGATATACGGACACTCGTCGATCTCTCGCCCGACAGTCCAATAATTATTCCGCTACTCTAGAGGAACCAACCCATCATGATTAATTAACTCCGTTCACTCGTAACACTGTAGTCTGTACAGTAATCTGGTCTTTCTAAAAAAGTTTTATCATGTTGACTCCATCCGCCCATCTTGTTGAAAAGCACCCAATCCTGTTCCTGAGGCTGGTGCGCCATCACGCTTGTAAATGTTGAATTGAACCCGAGAATACCGCCATATCTTGATCACACAGAACAAATGATGTATATCAGATTAAGAGAAATAAAGCACTGGGAAGCAGGGTAACCAGGTGAGAGTAACGAGTCTATACAACCTCAGCCAGTACACCAGACGTCCCAGGATCGATCCAGTCGACCACATAGCGCATCTAAAACAGACCGTCGATTTCTCCGGTCTCGGGGTCAATATCGACGTTCAAGTAACCCGGAGCGGTCGGCAGACCAGGGATGGTTTGAATATCCGCCGCAAGAGCGTACCTGCAATCAAATTAGTATCCGTTCTGTGTACGAGGTCTATAGGGGCAGTCTTACAGATATCCAGCACCCACGGCCAACCGAACATCCCGGATGGGGACTGTGAATCCGGTCGGAGCGCCCTTCAAGGCGGGATCGTGACTGAGAGAGTACTGAGTCTTCGCAACACAAATAGGAAGATGTCCAAATCCTTGCGCAGTGTAGGTGTCGACCTTCTTTTGTGCAAGTTCACTAAATTCAACCTTCTCCGCGCCGTACATGGCCTTGCCGATGCGCTCAATGCGCTCCTGAATGGTACCTTCCAGCTCATACAAGAGCTTGAAGTCCTTCGGCTTGGAGCTAGCTGCCAGAACACCCTTGGCCAGGTCCACAGCGCCAGCTCCGCCCTCAGCCCAGTGGTTAGCGGGGATCGCGTCCTCGGCTCCCGCAGCGATGGCCTCCTCCCGGATGACAGCAATTTCTGCTTCCGTGTCGGTCTCCATGCGGTTAATGGCAACCACCACGGGCACTCCATACTGGCGGGCATTCTCGATATGCTTCTTCAGGTTGACACAGCCCTTGCGTAGAATATCGACGTTCTCGGTGCGGTAAACTTCGTTCAACGGGGCTCCGGGGCTAATCTCCGGGCCACCACCGTGAACCTTGAGAGCACGGACGGTGGCCACAATCACCACAGTGTCCGGAGTCAAACCGGAAGAGCGACACTTAATGTTAAAGAAACGCTCTCCACCCATGGTGAAATCGAAACCAGCCTCCGTTACAACAAAACCAGTCTTGGCCTCATGGTCCTCATCGGGTTCCGTACCGGCGAGTTTTAGAGCCAACTTGTCCGCAATCACGGAACTGGCTCCAATGCTAATGTTGGCGAAGGGGCCAGCGTGCACCAAGACCGGCGTTCCCTCCAAACTTTGCATGAGATTAGGCTTGATAGCATCCTTCATAAGGGCAGCAAGAGCGCCACCAGCGCCGATGTCGTCGCAGGTGACAGGATCACCACTCTTCGATGTAGCAACGACCATCCGGCCCAGTCTGTCACGCATATCCTCCAGGCTGTTGCTCAGGGCAAGGATGGCCATACACTCACTAGCGACAGAGATATCGAAACCAGTTTCACGGGTCAGACCCTTCTCCGTAGGTGCCTGTCCAACAGTAATGCCACGGAGGTGTCTGTCATTGACATCCAGGACACGGCGCCAAGTAATGGTTTCAGGGTCAATATCAAGGCGTGCGAACCGACGGATCTCCTCATTGGTCAGTTCATCCGGATTGGTCTTGGTGATACCCAACTTGTTCAGTCTCTTGAACATGACGGGCTGGAATTCACGCTTGCCCTTCTTGGCAGGGACCAATCGCTTGTAGAGCGGGCCATCCTTCTGGGTTGCTTCATGGAACATGCGGGTTTCGATAGCAGCGGCAAGAAGGTTGTTCGCAGCAGTAATCGCATGGATATCACCAGTCAGATGCATATTGAACTCATCCATAGGAATGACCTGACTGTAGCCACCACCGGCAGCTCCGCCCTTGATGCCGAATGTGGGGCCCTGACTGGGCTGACGGACATTGGCAAACACAATGCGATTCAAGTGCGCACCAATGGCCTGAGTAAGACCCAAAGTAGTTGTCGACTTGCCCTCACCAAGCGGGGTTGGGGTAATACCACACACCAAGATGTATTTTCCATTACGGCGGTGAGCCAAGCGATTGAGAACATCGAGACTTACTTTCGCTTTGGTATGACCGTAAGGCTCAAGCTCATGGGAAGAAATGCCAATCTCTGAAGCAATCTGTGTGATTGCCTTGGGGTACTGTGCACGGGAGATGGCAATGTCAGAAGGTACAGGGCGTGCCAGCTTGATCGGCAATGGGGTGATGTGTCTGTCCTTCTGCTTCTCGAAGTACGCCTTGGCAGAGTTAACCACATTCTGCATCAGCATGGCCACCGTCATGGGACCGACACCACCCGGCACGGGGGTGATCTGAGAAGCCACCTGAACGGCGGACTCGAAATCGACATCGCCGACAAGTCGCTGGCCTGACTTCTTTGAAGGATCAGGCTTGTAATTGATACCAACGTCAATGACAACAACACCGGGCTTCAACCAGTCGCCCTTGACAAACTCCGTTTTACCAAGGGCGGCGACGAGGATGTCCGCCGTCTTGATGATACTTTCGACGTCAGGGGTCTTGCTGTGACACAGTGTCACAGTTGCGTCTGCCTTGTTCAACAGGTAGCTAACAGGGCTGCCAACAATATCACTCCGTCCAAGCACCACTGCCTTCTTACCGGCCGGGTTGACTCCACTCACTCGCAAGAGCTCCATCACGGCCTGGGGTGTGCAAGGAACAAAGAGGGGGTGGCCGCCTCTCTTGGCTAGTTCACCGATATTGACCGCTCCGAACCCGTCAACATCTTTCTCGTCGGCCACGGCAGAGGTGATGGTATGTTCGGACATGTGTTGCGGAAGGGGCAATTGGACGAGAATGCCGTGCACGGAGGGGTCATTGTTGGCCTTGGTAATCTCCTGAAGGAGCTCGGATTCGATAGTAGTCTCTGGGAAGTTGACAATCTTGCAAACGATGCCCGCCTGGATGGAAGTAGTTTGGTCAGCCATGTGAGAAGCATTACCCAAGCAGACGAGGGGGAAAGCTTACCTCTTCGGCAGCCTTCAACTTCATGCGCACATATGTGCCTTGAGAAAAGATTAGTTGACATTCCGGAGTTAAGATGCGCTACACAAATAACTCACTTGAATCCGATCTGCTGCCCACTATATGCAATACATGGTCAGCAATTTTGTCTGTTTGGGGGGGTTGGCTATGAGTCAATAGGAAGGCGCACCCTGGAAAATAACCAAGCTGGGCTTGAATCTGGGATTAGACTCCTGGATCTGCTGGATCTCATTCTTCAGACCCGCCCGAATATTCTTGGCGATCTGCGTGCCATCGATCTTAGTGGCTGCCATGGTGGTTCCGGTGCTGTAGGATGAACAACGGATAGAGAACGGCGTCGCAGTGAACCCCTTATAACCTGTGGGGTTGGGTCGGAGGGACCGTAAAGTACCGTAACTAAGTGAGCCGACCCCGCGCCCTGCGGAGGAATCTCGTGGTCTGAGGAGAAAGGAGGATGAGATCCGGGGAAAGGAGAGGGGGAGATGTGAGGAGGTATGGAGGAGACGAGAATTGAAGAAGAAACATTTTGCTTTGGCACCTTGGTGGTGTTGGTAGTGGCAGCGGGGTAGTGCCGCCGAACGGGCGGGGGAGCTAAATGGCATTGATTTGCTTTCGTCGGGGACTTTGGCTGGGCTGGCCAACAGCACGCCCTCGGGAAACGCAGGGAGGAAGAATTGGAGATAGGGAAAAACGCCCGTCAACCCCAGGGATTACCTAAACGTGTTGAATAACACCTAATTAAGATTATGCTTTATACAGAAAATGAATCGGGGATTCAACAATGCAACCATCCCTGCCAGTCTCCGAAATCTCCAATTTCTTCATTTCAGGGATTCCGTTTCAATATCTTCAATTGAGGGACACATTGTCTAGAAGGTTTCTTTGGGTCTGCACATGATCGGCCCGTCCTTGAAGTCGGAGAGTTAAAGGGACTTGGCGCGAGTCAACCCGAAGGGAACCGTTAGTCTTACCAAACTATGCCCAGTAGGGACAAGACCCCTGTTGTCCCATGTCCCATGAGTCAACATGCTAGGGCTGCCGAAAGTCACGCGTATAGATTACCATACCGGATTATCAATGCGCCGATACGGACATTTTTCAACACAGGAACAGCCTCGAACAGGAAAGTCTTGGCGCGCGAGCCCGGACTGTGCGATGAAATTCACTAGTCTTGACTACGAAGAGAGCCGCCAGCACCCCGCCAGCAGTTCCGCCTCAGAAACGATACAGTCGGTCACAGGATCCTATCTGTGATCTAATACCTCAATACTTTCATCGCTTTCCCCAATATCATAGCTTGGTCGGCCCAATATGAGGCCTATTTTGCTTTCGGGCCATGTGCGTTCGCCTTACAACCATTCGATGATGCTCTTTTTTTTTCACGGCAATGAAAAATAAAAAAAGAAACCAGCCACTAACAGAAACTTTGCGCATAGGAACGGTCCCTCAACCAGATCAAATTCAACCGCGATGGCGACCTTTTGTTCTCTGTAGCGAAGGATAAGATTGTGTGCGCTTGGTGGTCGGCTAACGGCGAGCGACTCGGTACCTATAACGGACACCAGGGTGCTATCTGGACCGTCGATGTGAGCCCCAACACCATTCTCCTGGCCACCGGATCGGCAGACAACACTGTGCGACTATGGAACGTGAAGACTGGCGAGTGTATTAAGGTGTGGGATTTCCCTACGGCTGTCAAGCGGGTCGAATTCACTCCGGATGGAAGCCGGCTGCTGGCTGTCACAGAGAAGCGTATGGGCTTCTTGGGTACCATCGCCGTGCTCGATATCAACTATGAGAACCTGGAGGCTCAGGCCGAGGAACCCAGCTTGAGGATCACCTGCACAGAGAGCAAGGCAACAGTTGCAGGCTGGAGTTATTTGGGCAAGTACATCATTGCTGGCCACGAGGACGGAAGCGTCAGCCAGTACGATTCGAAGGTACGACAAGATCGATCAAGAAAAAAAATAAATAAAAGGAGATTGCTAATATACTGTCGTAATAGACCGGCGAGCAGTTGGAGAACGTTCAGGCACATGAGTTCGACAACTTGATCAGCGACATTCAATTCTCCGCAGACCGCACATATTTCATCACCGCTTCCAAAGACAAGTCCGCCAAGGTATGCCACTTCCTTGGAGAAATGGTAGCACGATAGTATGCTGACTTATTCCAGCTCATTTCCAGCCGTAACCTCGCCATCCTTAAGACCTATGTTGCCGACACTCCCCTCAACAGCGCTGCTATTACGCCTAAGAAGGAATATGTGATCCTTGGTGGTGGTCAGGCTGCTATGGATGTCACTACTACCTCCGCTCGTCAGGGTAAATTCGAGGCTCGTTTCTACCACAAGGTCTTCGAAGACGAGATTGGCCGTGTCCGTGGCCACTTCGGTCCCCTCAACACTGTCGCTGTCCACCCTTCCGGCACCGCCTACGCCTCCGGTGGTGAGGACGGGTACGTTCGTGTTCACCACTTCGACAAGCCCTACTTTGATTTCATGTATGAAGTGGAGAGGGAGCAGCTGCGCAAATAAAGTGATTGGTGTTTAAAAAGAGCTTTTTTCCTATTAACGCATGTGTCATGAGGCAAAGACATTTCTTACCAACAAAAAAGAGTAGAAAGGGCAAAGCAGGCACGGCGGTACGAGAAGTTCTCGGGGCGATTTAGGGCATGAATTCTCATTTCATTGATTCCATGATAAAGTCGGAGTTGGTACCATTTTCCTTTTTCTGGTCGCTTTCTGTGTCCTAATAAAAGAACCCAGTATTTACTTCTTACAATTTTGCTTCAAATTTCATACTTCTTCATAAATATATCTCTTCGTTGGCAATCTGCCGGGTAGCATTCTATCTCATCTAGATATAAACCAAAGAAATCCCAACTTGCACCAAAAGAGGAGCATCAAGATTCATTGAGACAGTATTTTATATGTAGAAAAAAAAAAAGAAAAAAAAAATCATCTCAATGCCAGGTCAGCGCTCTTCCGACCAGCAGAAAGTAATGGGGATCTCATTGCACAATAAAATGCATTAACGTAACAACCGAAAGGATATCCGGGGACATCATGAAAGAGAAGAGAAAAAGACAAGGGTTTCATGAAAAAAAAAGCATCCCATCCCGTCAAGAAAAAGCCGCAGGCTCACCCCCGGTCAATTTACTTTTTCTTGGGGAACTTCTCCTTTCCAATGTCTGAGCCTCTCAGCTTGATGTTGAGCACACGCTCCATGGCACTGAGGACCTTCTGGTCGGGGGTGGCGGTACCCTTCTCGAAGTCCTGGACGACGGTGACGGTGGTGTTGCACTTGGTGGCAAGTTCCTTCTGTGTCATCTTGTAGCCCTCCTCAGTACGGCGCTTCTTGATAGCGTCTGCAACTTGGTAGCCAACAGTCTTGGGCTTGATGATGTCGTCGCTGCGGTCAACCTTGGTCAGGTGCTGACCCTCAATAGCACCAGTTTTGGAAGCCTAAGAATGACCGTCAGCACACTGACCTCAAATACAAAGCATATAGATACCGCGCGGGAGTTAAGAACAAGTAGATGACTTACAGCATTGCCAGTGGCGTACTTCTTCTCAGTTCCGATAACAAGACCTTGGCGCTGGGCGGCGTTCAGAGCGCTCTTGCCCTTGACGACAGTCTCACGGGGAGCAGCGCCGCCAGCGCGGTGCTTGCTTCCAATGCGGGTAGTAGAGCTCCAGTCATCCATTTTGAGGGAGGTTTAGAAGACGTTCAAAGAAGACTTGATAGGGAGGAAAATGGTGGGGTTGTGTGTTGAGGATGGGAGAGAGTGACGAAGGCGGTAAAATTGGATCGCGTGAGGTTGTGGCTAAAAAGAAGGGATGTCGCAGGCCCGCCGAATTTATATCAATGACACAGAAGCTTCTCGAGCCACGATGGCGGAGTCAGAGGGGAGGTTATGCCCTAGTCCTATTTCGGTCCCCTCTTTTGGCTTCTGCCCCACTGACATCATCCGCTCATTCGCTCGGGCTTTTTCCCTCCGTTTAAAAAGGTGGCGATCTAATGCTTACCTTACATTGATCTATGCTGAGGGGGCAAATCACATATTCAGATATCTTTGTATATACACCTATTCACTCTTTATTTGGTTAATCTGCTTTCAGGTTAGCCATGCAGCCCTAATAGAAAACATATTAAAGCCTCCTTTGTTGCTTTAAATGAGGCGTTTCAATGTTTCATGCCTGAGCATGTCTTTGTTGTGCTTCAGTGGGCTTCAATGTACTATAGCCCTTGAATACTATCTTACCAGTTTATTAACCCCATATTTTGTTGGGCACAACAGGATTGCATAACTACAGTGTACAGCGTACGCTGGAGGGCCCCATAACTCGCCCATCACGCCCACTGCTTGGCTCGCACTATTTGGAGGCTATAGTGGTTTCCCTCGAAGCGTATATTGATCTGTCCTGGGTGGGTATGAGTGAAAACGAACTAAACACCACACATATAAAGAATACTGTTCTGCGCTCAATTAGAAGGACATGTAAAAGTAGGTAACATTCCAGTATACTGATTGGATCATACAGCCTAATATCAACAAACATATCTGGGCGCTCGACGGAGGATACCTAGGATACACATTCCATTGGGTTGGATCTTGTCAAACACACCCACGTTTGCCTTAGGCCGTGCATATGTTACATCTTGAGGTTAGGCTAGTCTTCACTTTCCCTCTTTGGTCCTTGCTCCAACATATCACACCATGGATAGATATTCAATGCGTCAAATGCTAGTATCAAGATTTGGTTAGAGGTCCCAACATGATCGTTATTAAACTAGTCAAAGGTAGATACCTTATCCCTTATCCAATAACTGTATATATCGAATTGAGCATTGTCCTCTTCAGTTCTGGATCTCAGCCACCCAGGTTAGATGTATTTGTAGTGGACCGCTTGGCTGCTCTACTAAATCTAAGACACCAACCTTCGTCAAGACCACAGTATTTGTTCTCGATCTGGGCCTATTCCATATTCTTCATGCAAGTTTGGAAAACTCACGATATTCTCATAAACTATGTGCCTTGATACAAGGATGTTCTATGGATAGGCAAAGAGCTAGGATATTCAACCTGATGTAAAAAGAAAAAACTGCTCGCAGTCTTATAAAGGCGAGTACGTAGCAAAATGTGGTTAAATAGATGCAGATTATGCGAGCAGGTGGATATGCTCCTCATGCCTAGAAACTAGTAGTCTCTAGAAAAATCAATATGTACCAAATGGGGTATGTCAGGTAAATGGATGAAACCCTAAGTGTCAAAAGCGTGATTCAGATCGAAAAGGGTCTTTACCGAATACCAAGCGGAGCATTGCAAAATGAGTGACAATCTTTTTTGATAGAAAGAAGAAGAGGCATGAATCATTTCCATATGAAAAGTAGATCCACCCTTGTAACAAGACAGATATCAATGTCTTGAAAGGATGTTTCAATAATGCTTGGCAAGGATAGGCAGACATGGAAAGACCGAGCGGGCAAAAGGCCAATGACCAGCGTTTGCCCCGACCGATCCGACTGGGGGTGTCAGGAACGTCTTCCATTTCCCTTTGAGCGCATTTGTCGGCTTTTTGGACTAAGCACTGCCCATCGTTCTTTTTTTAACTTATTTCTAGTTTCAAAAATTTGAACCTCGTTTGTTCCAACATACATCCACCTCTCTTTGTCGAGTTTCCTTCCAGTACCCGTCACTCTCTTATTTCTCTTTGCCGACCATGGCGTCCCAGAGCAACTTCATGTCCGCCATGACCAACCGGTCGCTGCGCACTGTCCGATTGGTATAGCACTCTCCCTTGCTCTTGAGGAATAGCACTTATTCTGTATTCTTATGTACAATATCCCGTAAACATATCGCTAATCCTTTTTCGTTCATTCTAGGAACTTGAGTTCCTTGCGGATGCGTCAGTCATTACTCCACAGCAACTGTCCTCGATTGTATCTCAACTACCCCAGGAGAACACTGAACGTTCCGCCTCTGTACCACCACAATCGCAGCCACCTGTCCAGCGGCACCAACCCCCTATTGCAGCCCCAACTCCCGTCCAGCCTTCTCCAGCCCCATACTCTCCTCCAACCCAACAATTTGCCAATACCTCGTTGAACGAGAAAGCCGCCTATCAACCGTCCCCGCAACATTATACCCCCCCTCCGCCTGCTTATCCCCAATCTCCCCCGGTGCTCTCGGTCGCTAATGCGCTCTACGCTTATACTCCAACAGACCCCGGTGATCTGGCTCTCCAGCCCCATGACCGGGTTCAAGTTTTGGAGCACATGAATGCCGATTGTAAGGAACTCCGGTCGCGCGAAACGGCTGGCACTTGACTAATAATGACCTACAGGGTGGCGTGGTCGTAATGAGCGGACCAACTTGGAGGGTATTTTCCCTCGTAGCTATGTGAGCGTGATCGAAGACAAGGCGGCACCGGCTCCTACGAGTTACGGAAATATGCCACTCGAAGTCAGCCAAAGTGGCTCCGCAGAAAATCCGGACGACAAGAAAACCGGCAAGTTTGAGGAGCATGGCAAGAAGTTTGGCAAGAAGATGGGCAATGCCGGTACGTTTCCTATTACACCGCGGCATATTCGTGATTACTGACCATCGCTCGTCTAGCTATCTTCGGTGCCGGTGCTACTATCGGCTCCAACATTGTGAATAGCATTTTTTAGTGTGTTGGCTTCTTCAGATTTCATCCATACCGGAAGGGTTTCGAGCTGAATACCATGCGAGTTGATTCCATTTCTCGCTCTTTTGTCCCTGGGAATGGCGTTGGTGGTGTCCTTCTTTTTTACTGCTCATGATCCTTATTCAGTTGTGCTAATGAGGGTTATTTGGGAAACGTATGTCGCGGATTATTTATAGCATGATCCATAGCCACGACATTAATACAATTATCAGAATGCAACTTCCTATACAATGATTTGTGGGGCCTCAGCTAGATTTTATGGACAGATAAATAATAGGAGTAAACCGGTATTGATGTTAATCGAACGACGAGAATATCAAATTAGTACCTGAGGCCTCCCAGTCTACCCCCGCCTCCATGTTATCTTAACTTGTATTTTCCCTCGAATTCTCTGGATGTGCCCCAGCAAGCTTTTCACTCGAGGCCACTTGAAACTCTACCAGGGGAAGATCTCTGAGTCCTGCGCGCCACGTTGGATGTTTAAGCGCCGGCGATCATGCACGTTCCCACAACTAGAATAGCCAGACCCAGCAGACTGGCGCAAATTTATCCTGGCATCATTCTTACAGACAAATACTGGATGATTCTTTCTCTGGGAAGCTGGCGAAGCGCCACTACTGCACCATGGCGGGTTTCACCATGTATTTCGCTAGTAGGTGACTTGCAAGGCTGTTGTGGCCGACCGGGGTCGTTGAGCGATATGCCTTGGTAGTGCTCTCGTTTGTATGAGAGCGCTTGCAATATAAAGCCAAGGTTGTACAAGCATGATGCCCTGGTTTTAGGATTTCTGCTCAGATTTTGTTCCCACCATTTCTCTCATCGCCATGTATAGCCATCTCCTACTTGTTACATGTTTCATAGTACCTACTGCAAGGGCAAGTGGCTGGGATGACTTTACAGACAATCTTGCTACGGACCTGGTGGGTTATAATTTCCCCGCATCGCTTCAGTGCTACATCTATCAGCTCAACGTTAATATTGCCAGGCACCTTTGATCTCTCTCTTTGGAGAACGATTGACAACACAGTTTCTTTCAGAGTCTATCAGTCTGTTAGACAATGTTATCTTTGCCCTAGCTCCGCTGGGGATCTTGACAGCTGTGGTTTCCGCAATCCGAGTCTGTGGGAATGCTTCTCTTCGAGCATTCATCGGAAGAGCCCAGGAGGGTCCCGGCGAGGCAGAACATGAGCTGTTATCATGTGTTTCAGAGACTACGGCCGAATTATTTAACAATGGTGGCATTTCTCGCGTCTTTGGGCGCCCTCGACTTCTGGAGGTAGTGGTCTGGAAGGACAAAGATCCTGTAACTAAAGAAGACTGTTGGAAAACAGGGACTTTACGTGATGCACTTCTACAAGGTTCATGGACCGCAAACGATGCAGGGCTGAAGCTCTTCGACAAGGACTACCCATTACCGGAACTTGAAATACCGAATCTGTCCCTGAACAAGGGTATTGCAAGGAGGAGCCAGGGTTGGTTCTACTGTGCTGCAGTTGTAGGGTTTGTGCTGCAGATAGGTATGTTTCTGGGCGATTGTACGGCTTTGAAACTGGCATTGTTGAATGGCGGAGAATATCTGACGAGCGTTTCAGGAGTGCTTGCATATTCTGCGGTAACTGTTTTGATATATCCGGATCAGTTCCAAAAGGATGAACAGCCGGTCGAGAGCTATGCGCTCCCTCTCTTTCTCATTGGAACTATATGCCTGTGTACGGGCATGTTCCTATGTGCCTTTATTATCGAACGCTCGTCGAAGGAATTATACTTCCGCTCTGTCAAGCCTAGCAAGATTTACTGGTTGCAGCCCGGGGGACAGAACGTCGGAGACCAAGTATTCGACTCATTTCTTGCAGCCAACGAAGGATCTAGTTCCCAACTGGATGAAGGTCTCGTCTATATAAAGTCGATCCGGGACCATGCACTTCAGGGCAATTCGTATATACTCGTACTCACTATATCATTCACATTGATCGGATTCGTGGCTCAATTCGTTGGCCTTCGAGGACTACATGCGTCGGTGACCTTAGCACAGATGGGGTCAACTCTCGTGATGGCTATCATTCGGACATGCCTTCGCACGAAAAGGATCAGTTCGAAGGAAAATCGCCTTACTAAACACGAGCGGAATCTTGCCTCTCACAAGAACCAAGAATTAGACTGCTTTGCATTCCACCTCGAGGATGCGAAATCATTTAGTCTAGTGTCTGGCATAGTCAGAGGGCAGTCATCATACCAATCCAGCCTCATATCAGTAACGTCAGGGTCTTCAGGTCAAGACACTAGGCTGGGAGCTAAACTTATTCAAACAAGAGCCCACCTTGCGAAACTCACTTCTGGTACCGACCGGCTCCACGCTTTGGCTTGGGATGAGATGCCTATCCGGCAGGTTGCTCGAAACTTAGCCCAAACGATTGAGGCCACGATGGACTTAATATCAACCTGGCAGCACGCGACGAAGGATATGGACAGCTTCGAGCTTGATTTTGTGTGTCAATCTCATCACAAGTTTATTGCCCCTAAATTAGAAAGCTACACGATCAACCTCGCAAGATCAGACGATACACTACAGTGGCGAGTTCAGGAACACGAATTAGAGGCAGTGTTGGGGCTATGGACATGGTCACTGTTGAATTCCAGCCCGGAGTGGCTGCACAACGGACTTGGTAGGCTTGTAGGACTAAGTGAGTCCGAGGCCAGAGCAGAAGACACTGATCTTTACTTCCATAAATGGATCTTCCGGCAGAGAGAAGCAAGGATGGTTTCGACCAAAATGGTCTGTTTACCCCAATGTATGTTTGGGTTTTATTCAGGCCATTATCCCAACGATAAAGAGATTCTGGTTGTGAAGACTGAAAATCACCTTGAAACCATGGCCGCTCAAGACATCTACGTTCAATTTATCAGAAACATTTTGCAGAATTTGGGAGAATTTTGCGGTGACACCAACGTGGTTTCCGGCTCGAGGGACGGGTACATTGCTCATAATAACCGCCTCGACGACCTTGTGGATTGCTTCGAAACTAGCAAATTAGGCTCACGAGAAGATGCACTGTTGTGCATAGTTCCTGTGCTAAGACATCGAGGTCTTCTACCAATGCTTTCCGGAGGCTCATGTGTTGTCAAAAGTCGGATCAAGGAGCTTACAGCCAGCAGCAACTGGGTAGAGGCGTTTTCAATACTGTGGTGGCTTTGTGAATGTAGTGAAGGAGAGGAGTTCGAACATTCTGTCTTCGAACTCGGCTGCCTTTGTCGTCGTGCAATGCTACAAACAGACCCAAATATACAGGCAGAAGGTTACAAATACGCATATCGTCTCATAGAGAATGATCCAAGGACAGGATTTATCAGAAGCCTAAGGGATAGTCGCCCCACGGGCTGGATGGACGCAGACCAGCGACCGGAGCAGTGGAAAGCATTTTCCCTCCAATTAGGGTGGGTGATTTGGCACATCATCCAAAGAAATAAAAATCGTCAAGGCATTCAAAGTTCCTTGGAATCTCTTGGTATTGATGGGAGCTCGGTGCCTATAGGAAAGGCCAATGGCGATGAGATTCAGGGCACGAAGGGTGAGCAAGCCGTACTTCATTGGTTAACGAACAATGACGAGGGGCTTTACAATCGGGAGCTTCTTTCCATAGACGATCGTCTAGCTCTGGATTGGTTGTGCCAGAATAGGTACCACGCGCTTTTGGATTGGCTCGTTGCGAGATGGGTTGAGTTGGAAGAACGATGCCCAGGGTTCCTCTACCACATCATCATATGGGCCGTCGAGGGCAGATATCGAGTAGCGATAGATGCACTTCGCCGGCACGATGTGAGCATCGACATGCAGAATCCTAAAGGCGGCTCAACCCCCCTGATCGACAAGATTATCGAGGGTGATCGAAAGGCAATTCAGGAGCTGCTCGACACCGGCGCTGATGTGAACGGAAGTCATTCCGGTGGAGGAACACCGCTATCAGCTGCCAGTCATAAAGGAGATTTGGAAACGGTTTCCCTGCTCTTGCACAAAGGTGCCAAGGTCAACATTCAAGACAGCGACGGATTCAGCCCTCTGATATGTGCTATAGTAGGGGATCATGTCGACATTGTTCGGGTTCTCTTTAAGCACGGTGCTAATGCTAACCTGGGTAGCTTCGGCGGAAGTACACCTTTGATGGCTGCGGCAGCAGATAACCGTGTGGAAATTCTGGGACTCCTGCTTGCTCGGGGAGCTGAGGTAGACGTGGAAAGCAGTGATGGTTGTACTGCCCTCATGCTAGCAGCTCGGAATGGCAGCACAGAAGCTACGAGGCTTCTTTTAAGTCACGGTGCCAATGTCCATAAACGCACGCTAGGTGGTGAAACGGCTCTCGATTGGGCACGAGAATTCGATCATATTGCAAGCGACTGCATACCGTTACTCAAGTCAGCAATGACTAAGAGATCATGAGCCATAATAACGATGTTTATGAATTTATTTGGTCTATTTTTGGTGATAGGTATCAATTAGGCGTGTATGTATATATACCTACGATATGTATGTAGTAGAAACCTCAAGGAGAATGGAAGTCGATCGGGAATCTAGATTTCAAGTTAGTTTACTCCATAGCATCTGGCCCCTTGAGGTAACAAAGCAAGATTAGCTCGCGGGGGGGGAACTTGTGGCTAGAATGCAGCCAGTGTGCTGATAGAAAGGTTGCTCTACTCCATACTCCGTCCATACTTTACCTTCATCCATTACCCCACTACGACTAGTCCATGCTAAGACGCTAAGCCAGACTGGCCCAAGCCTGACATTTACCAGCGATGAGGATACCACACATGATTGGAGGAGACCCTGTCCACCCAAGACGGTATTCGACATGATCGGCCGTTTTTTGCTGCAGCTCGTATCACAGTTGACTCTCTCTAAGCGCCGGCTCAGAGCAATCAGCTGGCAAGAAACCGGAATCCCCAGCGCTTACGGTGACGATGAATACTATAATAATCCTACCGGAGGCTCCTCCATGGCTAGTTCTGTTATACTTCCCTACTTAAAAATTATTCTATTTATCTTCGCGCCTCAAGCTGCTCTAAATATCCCGGACCTTTCTACACTGCCGTGGGCTTCATAATTCCGAACCCCAACTCATCAATTGGTGGTAGGATAGACGAAATACATCTAAAACTATTCGTTTTCGGGTGTACCAAGAATTGAAAGAAATCATAACCTGAAAGAATGGCGACTACCTACTTTCCTCCTCCACCCCAGGACCCTCAATTTCCTCGTACGTCGTCTTTTTTTAACTATACATGATTGACTCCAGTACGAATGCTAATGACTGACCTAGCGCCCCCAAGATCCACAAGTACGATGACTTTCTTTTCTTTTCTTTTCTTTTTTTTTTTTTTCTTTCTTTCCCCTAAATTCTACACTCTTTAGCAGTGACTGAGTCTCATAACTGGGTATAGCTACTCATTCGAACCCCCAAAGCCTCTCCAATTTCTCGCAACCGAATATCAGCTTCCCCCCACCGCAACGGCAACAGACAGCTCCTGCCGTGAGCCCATTCGCAGCGGATACCAATGCCGTAGCGTACACCGCGAACAGTGATATCGGTAATCCATACGGATCAAATTCCGTGTCTCCTCCCCCTCAATCGTCGACACCCCCAGCCGCCCCCGTCGTGTCGGCCACAAGTCAAGATGAAGTCGGTACATTCAACGGCGGAAGCTACCGAATCAGCCACCGGGACACCAACTCCGTACTCACAATGCAGCTGGCAATGGGATGCCCCATCGAGGCCAAACCAGGTAGGTTATTACCCATCTCATCCATTCAGCCCAGGAACCAATAGTCCTCGCCGCTAACCATCACCACAGGCGCCATGATTGCAATGTCCGGCAACATTTCCCTCAGAGGAACAGTGAAATTCGGCCTAGCGAAAATGGTCGCTGGCGGAATGACCTCCTCGATCTACACGGGGCCGGGGGAAATCCTCCTGGCGCCACCTTTCCTAGGCGACATCATTGTGCTCCGGATGGACGGCTCGGAGCGATGGAAGGTGGGCAAGGACGCGTTCCTGGCTAAAACAAGTGGCGTCGAAAAAGACTACAAGGCCCAGGGAATGACCAAGGCTGTCTTCTCTGGCGAGGGTTTCATCATCTATCACATGTCGGGGGTCGGTCTTGTGTGGCTTCAGAGTTTCGGTGCCATCATTAGGAAAGATGTAAGTTTGGCTGTGTGGCTGATTTCTCCATCCTATCCCTTTTACTCGCAGTGGCTAATTCACCTTTCCTCCGATTCAGATCCCCGAAGGCACAACATACCTAGTCGACAATGGGTATATTGTAGCCTGGAACTGTAAGTACAAGATCGAGCGAGCTGCGTCCGGTGGCCTGCTGTCGGCTTTCAGTTCCTCGGAAGGACTTGCGTGTAAATTTGAGGGTCCTGGGACTGTCTACCTGCAGACGAGAAATGCCAGTGCGTTTGCGGCTCATCTCAGTGGTAAACAGTAACTTGCTGTGGTTGGGAAATACAGCGGAGAGCTGGCTCTTCCTTTGACTGTATGTGTATGGGGTCTGATCTTTTGTTACATCTTTTTGTTTGATTGTTGTTCTATATCCCCGATTTTAAATTGGCTGTTGTGATTATGAGCGTATTTCCTATTTCATTCGTGTTTTTAAGGCGGAATTTTCTTCAGCATGGGAAATCAAATTTGTATGTTATAGGCCATATAACTGTGCCTGTTTAATCTGTGTTTTTATGCTAAATTGTGTATCTGAGAGTCAGTCGGTCGTAGTATTAAATTTACTCATTTAACGAGCTGATCATACCACGGCATCACCATCAGTGCAGACTCCTACTGTAGTTTATGTCCAACTGTCAGGATAAATGAGTAAAGACTATTAAAACAGTCATACTAATCCATATACTTATCATGCCATGCCAAATTGTCTTCACTTCGTCTCTTAGTTACTTTTGAGTTCCTTTTCCATAAAGCACTACTCCCAACGTCGTCATCATCATCCACATAGGAGAGAGAAAAAAGAAATCTTTATACGAAAGGGGGAAAGAAAATCATAAATCGCCAAAAGATAGTCGCAAGGAAATACAACCACCGCCACCATGGCTCCCCCAAAGACGCCACACCACGTTTAACCCTGTCTCTTTCTGCGTCCGACTTGGCCACGGAAACCGGTCTTGATAGCGGCGACGGAACGACGGGATCCGCAGGAGTTGCAGGTGACGAAGTACAGACGGTTCTCACCCTTGTTGAGCTCGGTGTCGGGACTGCGGCAAGTCTTGCAAGTAACGTATTCGACTGGTTACATGTTAGACGGATGTCAGATTAATAAATGGGGGAAGCGGAGGCATCGTACCAATATATCTTCTGAGGACGTTCTCAAGCTGCTTCTGCTGGAAACGACCCTTGATGACCAGACGACGACTGCCGTCAACACTGCCACTGGTACCCAATTCGGCGAACAAGAACTGCATGACGTGGTCGTCGGAACGCTTCATACGCTTGCAAATATCGGCGATGTTGGCGAAAATGGTACGACGGTTACCTTCACGCAGACACTGAGGAGGAGGGATCTTATACGACTTGGCACCGCTGGAAAGAAGGTCGGGGTGGTGGCTCTGAATGAGGGAGAAGAATCGGGAGACAAGCAGAGAGTAAGGGATGGCTTGCGTAGCGTCGTGGGCCCAGATACCAGTTCCGGCCTCGAGATCACCCTCAGGGAGGACCTCCTCTGTCTCCTCAGCTCCCTTCTCTGCTGCACCAGCCTCGGCCAGCTTGGCCTCGAAATCGCCTGCGTCGACCTTCTTGGTCTTTTTCTTCTTCTTTTTCAGGGCGGTGGGGTCGAATTCGCCGTCAGCTGCGGGGGAAGCTTCGTCGCCTTCACCGGCCTCTGCATCCTTAGGCTTCTTTGTCTTCTTCTTCTTGGACAGTCCCTTGAACATTTCGGTAACTTCGTCGACCGACTTGTCGGCTGTGGCTGTTTCCTTAATTAGACTACCGGACATGGATCTCTAACGAAAGGCACTGAACATAACGAAAAAGGATTCGGGTAAATCGTACCTTCATTCTCGGTGGGCTTCTCCACCTTAGGTGCCTCCGTGACTTCGCCGTTGGTATCCATGATGACAGAGCCCTCACTGAATGCGACTGACTTGCGTTGTTTTTGAGGAGCTTGTTCGACCTGTTCGGCCCCGCCAGATAACGTTAGCGGATAAGGGGGTTCTGGAATCAAAAATTCCCAGACGTCAAAAAGAGGGTAGACAGTAAATGCTCGCAATGCAGCACAGCACTACTATCAAAACCTAAAGCGGAGTGGGAAAGTAACGGGGTTTGGGGTTGAGAAGATTGAAAGGTGAAGAAAATGTGGGAGGACGATCGGTAAGGGAAAACAGCGTGTGACGTACAGTTGTATCCGCCATATTGAATCACTATCGGGCTGTGAGCACAGACAGGGGTATCACACTCCACCAAGACAGACCAAATTCCAATTTCCAGGAGTAAGAATGATGCTCTTTAGCAAGACAACGAGGTCGCTATGAAACTTCCGCTGAGAACCGTATCTGCGACGAGTCTGATGGCGAATCTGTTATCGCGGGTCGGTTTCACGTGACCAATGAGTCAAACCCATTCGGTACGGCGTAATTTACGATATTGTACGAGTCGAGGCACGTGAGGGGCCCTCCCCTGGATTACATCAGACTATCCAATCAACCTCACTTCCAATCAACGCATCCGATCTCGATCTTCTTTCTAAGGACATTAACTGGGTCCTACTCATGCCGCTATCCTCTTTCAAGCGGTAGGCGGGCCACTGCTTGATTGACAGCTTACAATCTGCTTGTCTTTTTCCTCCATTCCTATTGTTCAAAAGTGTCTCAGAGCCGTTCACCATGTCGTACCCATCACCCTCCGCCTCCAACCCGTCACTCGCTACGTCGGCCTATATGGTCTCCTCTGTAGACAACTTCTCAGATGATGAAGTCGCCTCTCTTCCCTCAGAATCTGCCTCTTCCTCGGACCTAGATACCTTCTCAGATGACTACTCTGACGCCGAGGAGGAATGGCGGGAAAGCATTGAGCAGTTGGAGCTCCTCTTGACTATGGTCGTCGTGCCCTTCGTGGGGAAGTACCTGGGAAGGAAGTGTGCCTACTGGAGTATGTTGATCTACGGGGGGGGGAAGTGTTAGTTTCGTGGGCTACATGCTGACTATGTGCGTAGGCTGGACCAGATTCATGGAGTGGAAATACCCTGTTGAGGTTGTCGTCAAAAACCAGGCGGCATTTAAGGGAGCAGGCGCCGTTGCAGCTCTTGCTTCGCTATAATTCGGACCAAGCCGTATGCATGACCCTATACTAGATTTCCTTGGCGTCGATAGACATATACATGGCAACAGTACCATCACATTCCGCCAGCCTTAGCTCTTTCTTGTGTCAGGTAAAGCAACTTCGTGCTTACATTTCGTATGGTTGATCGGTCTTGGGAGACGCAGCTATATGTTGTCTAGCCTGTGTATGCAACCACAAGTCCGCGTGTCAATGCTGGTTGATCCCACGGTGCCAAGGGACAGGTACGCCTTTTTAGAACAAGCAGCTGATGATCTGGTGAAATGTTGGGTGAGCATTCCAAAGATGGTTCCAGATGAGCAGCGTTTCAGCATAATTTGTGATACAATTATACCCAATCAAACTTCAGTGCATATGCATAAATCTGTTCGAGATGTGTTTTCGGGTTTGAATATTATAAAATCGGAGGGGCAGTTTGGGAGACTCGCGGCAGTTCACGAAAACTTAATTCATCTCAATGTTTACTATCTTCTTGTTGACCAGTCCACGTTGGACGGTGCTCAGATCCAATCTCGATTACCTATTCTCAATCACCTAACAGCCCCTTCCTCACTCTTTCTGCGCTTGTTGCGGATAACCAATTCCATGTTTTCCTTGGCTTTCGCTTTGCGCTTATCCTGTCCCTCCATATCCCCAAGTTCAGTACCCATTTGTGATAGGGCTTCCCGAGCGTAAAAGCTAAGGTCACTGCATCCGTCCGGGGTCAAAAAGCGTTCAAGAGGAGTCTCACGGTAAACTCCTGGCTGCTGTTGTTCAAAGAGCTTCAGGCTCTCATTGGTTTGGTTATGAGTTTCGGCGGACTTCGAGGTGAAGGTAGCCTGACTAAGGTGATCCATAGCCTGTTCGATGTCGACATTGTCTTGGTCATGCTCGCTCAAGCGTTGGATCCCGAGCTGAGAGTAGTATTGATGAATTCGCTCATCAGCTATAACTTTCTCTATCCACGACGTCACACCGTTGCCTGATTCTTCCTAAGGCTGAGTTAGACACTCTCCAGTGTTCACTGTAAGGAGGGAGGCAGCTGGACTTACAGATTCTTCGATGATATTGTGCAAAGCGAGGTTTCTCTCAGTCAAGTTGCTGTTGGGCGTCTCTTTGGTGCTAGTGTTGGAGGGCATCTTGTATTGATTGTGGTGGTCGATGTTATTGGAGAGGAGGGAGAGAGTTAAACAAACGCGCAACAGGTTAATGAAGGTGAACAGACGCCGAGCCCAGGCACTATAGCAACCATAACAGTCTATGCCACATCGCCAGGGTGATTAACCAGCTCTTTATATGCAGTGCGCTCGCGGTATCTGCTTGAACCAAGCCAAGCACACGTTAAAGGCAAACATGCTTATCTACGGTACCTGACCCATTAACGACGAAGATACCGTCAACAGCAGGTCAATCAGTCGGTCAGTCAGTCAGTCAAGTCACGCCAATGGATGGTGTCAACCCAAGCCATCAGGCACATACATCCACGCCTTATGCACAAATAAAGACTAAATGCAACTGGAAACCACAGCCCCGGGTTTCCAGTGAAGTACAAGGCACCCACGCCCCCTGTTCCCTCCGTCGTTCCGATAGCCCGTCCTCCCCACCCATCCGAACCCAACGAGTCAAAAGACAGCAATATCGCAATCCCGGGATTTGGATGTGGGTTAACGGCGACGGCGTATATCCCATGAGCCTGTCTCCTCGAGGCTCTGTCCGGGGAAAGCAGTGCGTACTTCCGCTGCCTGTCGTGGCAGGACAATAGTACTTTTATCCCCGGTGTTTTGGTCATCCATGCAGAATTAGCTGCAGATATGAAACGTTCGGGTCTGCAGTAATATGAGAAAATCTCCTCAGAGATTTGCTCACATCCATTCGCCTTCTGTCCTGGGCGGGTTGTACCGAAATGGAAAAAAGAATATAGCCCCGTTCAAACGAACACACCAGAAAAAGAAAAGAACCATCCACTAGCCAACTTCACGCATGCACATAATGACCAAACATAAGCCAAATCCAGGAAATGGAGAAACTAAAAGAAAATCCTACGCTGGTAGCCTTGTACAGCACAACACGCAGCGGCTGAATCCGTCCCTATTAGTTGCGTCCGTCCCATCGCATGGTACATACCCAGCAACCTGGGTGTCCCGCAAGGGCCCGTGCGGGCGTTCCTCTTCCCCCAAAGTTCATGCTAAAACAGTAGATCGCCGTAGTACGGCTGAAGCGCCAGACCTCTGGATTAGCGGTGACGTTGGCCTTGCTCTAATTATTCTAGGAGACTAAAGAAGACATATGGTGCGAAGGAAACCAATTTCAGCAGGGCTTTGTTCCTCTCAGGCTCTCACAAGGTCCTTACCTCTTTTTTATTTTTATTTTTTTCTACCAGGTTATATTCCAAATAGACAAAAGGTACGGGTACTTTGGACGTACTTTTGCACTGGACGAGTCAATAATTCCAGGACGAATCCTTGCCTTTCCGTCAAAAAGAGGGCTGGAAAAGGAAGAAGGAAGGGCGTGTAATCATTAATGGGCTTTATTTTCCCAGGGACTTGGTTCAACTCCCGTTTTAGGGTTTGTGCATGAATAAGTCCATGGGGAGTCTGATATTATCTGGAGTGCAAAACACGAATAATTCCGCATACACTAAAAACTCCTTCTACGCAGAAGGAATTTTAGTGTATCCGGAATTAGTAAATGAAAAGACAAAAAAAGAAAAGATGAGGGTTCATTGTATGGAATGGTTTTTTAATGGGATAATTTAATTCATGCAGTAATACGCACTACAGCATGATCCTTGTTAGCAGTTGTTAGAGTACTACTCCGTACACTGTCGGTTTCTTTCCCCTCTTTGGCTTTCCCTTTACTACTATCTTTCTTGTTCTCCTTCTTTGTGATATCAAAAGGAATGAAAGAGAGAGAGAGAGAGAGAGAGAGAGAGAAAAGATTTGAAAAACTATGAGATAATGGTGCTCCTAGGTAGGGAAAGACATTAGGGTTATTAGTAGACGCTCTTATATGAATTCATACAACCACATTTAGTCTACCACGGAATTTCTCAGAAAATAAGGCTATCCTTCCTTTTTCACGCCGTCTTACTCAACCGGGAACTAACCCTCGAGCCAAATCCCCTCATGCTCCAGGCGAACGGGCAAAGAGAAAAAAAAAAAAAAA